ATGGTTTTGACTTGTTAGGAGGACCTGTATGACCCCCAGCCTGAATAGTCACTTAGGATTCATTCACCAAACCCAAACGTTCTATCACTAGAATTTTTCCCCAGTCTTCATATAGAGGACTAAGGTGATCTGCCATTTTCATTTTGAATTTAGACAGGTCCACGCTATCATGAGGCTTTACTAGAGGTACAAGATCAGATGGAGCGGGATCGGAGGATGTCGGAGGCTGAGAAGCATGTGCAGATCTAAGACCAGGTGTGGAACACACCTGGTGTTTTGTACCAGGTAGAGGTGTCTCGGTTGTTTTCGGTGCTATTTTTACGCTGTTTTCGGTGCTGTTTTAGCCTTCGGCACCCAGACTTGTTTAGATTTCGGTAATTCTTTGACTGTCTCTTTCTTCTGCAACTCCTGTGACTTCTGCATAAGAATCCGTGTGTGAGAGAGAAGTGCACAATGTTTCTGGATGCGCTCCTCGAGAGTCGAACGGGCTTGTTTGACATGGACCTACTTGTTAGTTAAGGAGTCCATTACTTCCTGCGGTAGTGGCTTAGTTGTTTGGTGCCTTCTGAATTCTAAGTCCGCTTGATAGCGGAGTCCGTCCATCTATTCCAGAGCTTTAGCGAATTGACGGGTAAGACGTCGGCGTCATCCCTGATGAGCCCTCTTCGTCAGAACTGGTGTGCTTTCAACAGCTAACTCCTTGCCTTTTGGGAATTCTTGTGAGCATCAAATCTGGCTTCCTTGGATGTTGGAGAGTCGTCAATAGCACTTGGGCAAAGATTGTCACCCTGAGTCTTTAGATTTGACGGCCAATGAACCTTCTTCATGGAAGTGGTCTTCCTAAGCTTGCAAGGAGAGGAAGATCTGGAGGAGGAGGATGAGACGTACTCCTTGAACTTCTACTAGTCAAACTCATATTCGACCTCTTCATCCATAGAGATCTTGATAATCGGCTGCAGCACAACAGCCTTGGCAGCGAAGTTGTTGGCTCCACACTGTGGTTGCCAGCGTGTTCGCGTCAAAAGTTGGTTTCTTTAAGGAATTCATTACAACTTCAGGCGTTCACAATGAATACAAAAGAGGAGTCTTCTTATAAGATCTCTCTACACAAAGAAAATTAAAAAATTACAACTTTCTAGAAAACATACGCAGAGAGATCGTTTATCGATTTTCTACTTACGTGTGATCTTTGCTAATGCCGGGGTTTACCCGTGAACCACTAAATAATCAGATCTGATTGATTTCATTGCCTCGCAAAGGAGATAAGAAATTAAAGTGAATATCTCAGCAATGATGAGATAAGTTCTCTTCTCGAGATCACAGTAATGGTGCGATCTCAAGGGAAACGGATGAACGAGGCTGAAGCGGTTGCAAATCTATCGAACTCTCCTCCTTTTTGTCGAAGAACTCCCTAAGAACTTGCTTCCTCCTTGCTAAAATTCATACTCCTCACTCTCCAATTCGACAAGGTTTCACTATTGCTCTGAAATTCCCGATCCTCATGAATAAAGGACCTAGGGTTGTATTTATAGGCTTCAGAAGCTCTATTTTTGAATAAGAACGAACGATTTGATCTTATCCTTAGTTGTAACCACTTAACCACATTCAAAGATAGCCTCAAATCAGTTGGAGAGGCTATGGAATGAAATCTTATCAAAAAACGAGTCCATGAGTAGTTAACGGGCAAAAAATGGTTTTTCTGGGCGTGAGACACCGGTGGTGTCTCACCCTTGGGTCGAGACACCGTTGGCATATTTCGATTGTTTCACCTCTAATTGTTTCATCCGATCTCGGAATAAAGAGATTAAAGATGAGTTGGAAATATAGAGAAGAGTAATCTTTTTTCTTTTGAGCTTCTTTAGATTTGAATCTTATCATGGCCGAAATGTGTGAGACATCATCAGTGTCTTGCAAGTGTGAAACAGCCTAGACCGTCTCGGTTATTTTGGCTCTAATTTTCTCATCCGATCTCGGAATGAGGTGATCCAGGATACATTAGAAAGTTGGAGAAGAGATATACAACCTCCCTTAGAAAAAATAGCTCTATTAGGCACGAGACACCATTGGTGTCTCACCCATGGGCGAGACATGACTGATGTCTCTCTGTTGTTTTACCTCTAACTCTCTCATCCTATCTCGGAATGAAGAGATTCAAGATGTGTTGGAAAGCTAGAGGAGAGATCTATAACTCCTAATAGGTTAAATACACATGGAGTGAGCAAGACATGAGTGAAACTTCATTCTTTGTGGGTGAAATGTAATTCCCGGTAAAGTCGTTTCTACGTTATTTTGCCATCCCGTTGACTCGTATGCTTTGTCAACTCACTTCACGCACTTGTTAGCTTTGCTACAGCATCAACTTAATTTTTCTTGACTTGGATAATTATATTCATCATATTTTCTCTATCTCTAGCTACGTACAGAAACCTATAGACAAATTTTTATGCCTACAATGGCTTTTGTGACCGGTTTGTACACCCGATCATATCCAGAGGCCCCCCAGTTAGAAGAGGGGTGTGGAGAGGCACGATGGTAGGGGAGAGTCTTAGAGATTGCTCCCCTAGTGCAGTCCCTAGGGTGACGAGGGCCAGGACTCTCGCCAGTGACTTCAGGATGAGGGAGGAGACGTCAGCGAGGTTCCTTAGGGTGAATCGACTGATGCGGCGATAGGGTCTTGCACTCAATCCAATCGCTCAACTGTTTCGTAGTAGCATGAGAAGTCCGAGGCGGGACTACTTGTTATGCTCTAGAAGGAGGGTGAGTCTCCGATCGTTGGTCTTTAGAAGGTAGGGGGATAGTGAAAGTAGCTTGTTGCGATTGTGGAAGCCGGCTGAGATGCTC